GTGACAGGGCATCCTCAATAGCTTTCTAGTATGAATTCTGTACACTTAAATAAAGTGTTCATGACACAGCCTTTCCATCAATGGCAGAGGAGGGGGATGGAAATACCAATAACTCCAATAATCTCTCCTCTGCTTAGCTGCCTATTTTAATTTGATGTACAGAAACTTAATATCTGTAAGCTAGCTCCTCTTTGTCAAATGTGCTTGAAATTGACCAACAGGTTCAAAAGCTATTAGAAGAGTGTGGATTGACAGACATATGTCTGCATGAATACTACAGTATGATCTCATAAGCCCTTCTTCATCAGGAAACCTGACTAAAGAGGAGTGGATATTAAAGACACCCATCCAGCACATAGCTGCAAGTGTCTTTAATTTAAACTACATGAGTAGCCTGATCAAGTGGAATAGCATTAGGCATGCGTGTAAATTTGTAAGTGATAATCGCCTGATACTAAATGGCAGGAAACTTTATCACTGAAAAAGCAATGAGTTAAAGTGATGTCCTTTTATATGCTGCCATAACATTTAAAATTACTCAGATGAGTACTGAACAGAGGAACATACATGTGGATGTGCTCTGGCATATATCCGTTTTAATTCTGTGTGGTATCTACTCAACTTGGCCTACTCCGATGAGCAAATTGTTCATGTACAGTTTTATTTACAAGATTTTAGTCTAAGCTAGAAATGTCTTTGATAGCACCAGGGCAATTCTTAATGAGTTAATTTTAATATATTTGTTCCAGCCACACTGTCTGTTAGATGTGAAAATTCTGTGATCCCTTTCGTTTTTGCCATATTTGTAAAGTTTCGAGGATACTTAAGTCATTCCTTTTTATACATAGCTTTTTAATTGCAAGCCCCTGCCAGGTATTGCCTGGGCAGGCAAGTTCTGTAACCGGCATCTGTCTGCAATGAGTAATTTGTGTGACTAACTGTGCCAACGCTGACCTCTGAGGCTGGATTTCTGAAGCCAGCTGGTGGCTTGTCAGTGTCTCAGGTAGGCATCTCACCACTTGGTCTTGCTTTCTCAGTGTGTTACTTGATTGTAATGGTATGCTGTACTTTGGTCCTGTCTGCTTAGCGTAGCTCTTTCTCAGCTCTGCTCCAGGTCTGTCTGCTCCTTAGCCTAGACTCAGACTTGCTTAGTTTCCTTCCCTTTGCTCCTTGAGCCATTTACTCTAGAGCCCTTCTGTCCATGTTTCCCTTTTTCTGCTCTTTGCTTGCTACCCTTCTTAACTTCTCCAGGGTCTGGTTTGCCTTGCTTTTAAGCCTGGTTCTTGCCTCGTCCTCAGCACTGATTATGACTGTCTGCCCAATGAATATCCCTCCCTAATGACAGCATTGGTGTCAAGGGCAGGATGGAGGTTTGTTTAAGAACAAAATTCTCAGATACACAAATATCCATCTATAAAATTGAAGGTGTACTAGTTGGCTCAGGAATAACCTGTCTGGTAAATGCATGTTTGTAACAGGACCTGGCATTGCTCAAGACCATGAGGTAAAAGTGCCCTTCTTTCTTTTGAAATAAAGACATCAAAAGACACCAACTTCTTCCAGTTGCTAAAGCTTGGTTTACTTGAACATGAAAACAACAGTCTGGAATCATAGAATCATAGAATCATTGAGGTTGGAAAAGACCTCTAAGATCATCGAGTCCAACCGTCAACCCAACACCACCATGTCCACTAAACCATGTCCCTAAGTGCCTCATCTACATGTCTTTTAAATACTTCCAGGGATGGTGACTCAACCACTTCCCTGGGCAGCCTGTTCCAATGTTTCACCACTCTTTCAGGGAAGAAATTTTTCCTCATGTCCAATCTAAACCTCCCCTGGTGCAACTTGAGGCCATTTCCTCTCGTCCTATTGCTATAGGTAGCACTTGAAATAAATATAATGTATATAAGGTAGCACTTGAAATAAATAAAATACAGAAGATTAAGAGATTAAAATCATAGCCTTGAAAACACTCTGGCTTAATGGGCTCTTGCAAATGAGCTTCCCTGCTTTCTAGTTCAGCAACTTTCCATGGCTCCCTGAATTGAAATAACACCTCAGCAGATTTTTTTTCTGGGACTCTGTGACAATTTTGCTTTTCTCCATCGTTTCAGAGGCTTTGCTGCAGATCTGTTATCCTCTCCCATCAACAATCTCTTAATTTGAGCCCAAGATGGATAAATCCCTGAGCAATGTGGTCTGACCTCACAGCTGATCCCTTCCAACCTGAGTTACCCTCTAAACCTATGTTTCTACCTCTTTCCTCTTTGTCTCCTGTCCTGGCTGTTGGTGTCCCTCTAGAAGCTCCTCTGGGTCACCCTTTGGCTGGGGAGCAATCTCCTCTTTCTTCCTTAACTAGAGGACAGCAGCAGCAGCAGCAGCAACAAGGCAAACAGCCTTCCTCTTCACAGCCAGCAAAACTCTTCTTAGCAAAACACACAATATATAATTCGTACACAGTACATTTTGAGCAAGCAACCAAAGAGTTAGAACATCCATCACGATGTGTTTCAGTGTTTCTCTGTGAAGATGAATATGGATATAAGTACAGAAGAGCATGGATTCTTCAAAATCAGGGTGTCTGGAACAAGAAAAAGAATGGAGCGAAACAATAATACACATTAAAAATATGAGGATAATATACCATATAGCAGCTGGAAAAATGAAAAATGAGAAGATTCAAATTTGCTCTTAATGCTAAGTGAAAAAGAACAGCTCACATTTTTCAGTCCTTATTTATTTTTTTAAAAAGAGCATAAAAATGCATAAAAATCTGCATGTCAAGCAAATGATGTGAGAACCAAAATCAGCTGGAAAAATGTCCTTGATATCAAAATTAATATGTTAGGAATAACAAAAACGATGCGTCCTATAACCAGAAACAGATGAATCTGGCTCTGTGATTTCTAGGTCAACAGTCTTGAGATGTGCTACACAAGCCAGGAGATGAGAATCCTTAGTAGGGGTGCACATCAACTCATTAGCAGTTCACTCCCTGTTAGGACAGTCTGGAAATCCCATCCATTCCAGAAAATATGCACAGTCAGTGAGAGATGGAAGGTTGCTATCAGAGGTAATCGCTAAAAGTGTTTAAGCAGACAGTATAACTGTGAATTTCTTAGAAGCAAGCAAGAAAATGTCATGTGGTCAGTGAGCCATGTGTCACAGACCTCAGGAAAAAGAATACTTTATGGATTTAAAAGAGCAGTGCTCTTTAAAGTGACTCTCAATATGAGTCCAGCTAGAGGACCTGAAAAATATAGAGTTGGATTGTTTTATCCCTGCCATAGAATGAATTTCTTTGCTGTTTATCCTAGGGCACTTCCCAGTGTCTGTTCTTCCTTGTCTTCTTATCCATAAGTATGGATTTCAGTTCAACAGAAAGATCTTGCCTGCACTAAAAGACAATTTGAAAAATCTGCTCTATTGTTTTCTGGTGGCTGTTCTTCAGTATATGGTGCCTGATGTTATAATGGGAGTCACGGAGTTTTTGCTAGACATTCTCTTCTAGTTAAATCCCATGAGGAGGCGTTCAGCTTTTGTAACTGCTCCAGAAACAAGGAAAGGCAGAGTGATTTCCAGTCCTGTTTATTACAGCCCGCACTTCCTTTTCAGGCACAATAGGGGATTTTACATGAGCAAAGAGCACATTTTAGTATCTGTGATGTGCCAGTAGCACTGCTAGTTATCAAGGTTGCATGACACTTCTTATCATAAAGCCCTGGTGCCGTAGGGAAATACAAGGGAGATCTCATCACTAGACAGTAGCTGCTTTGGAGAACTGGAGTCAGTCTCCACTGCAGAGTTCCTGTGTGGCAAGTTCCTTTAATCACATTTTTCCCAGGCGGTTATTTTGTTCTCTGTTTTCATTGTCCAGCTTGAGATCCACAGGCTGAGTGGCAAGTTCCTTTAATCACATTTTTCCCAGGCGGTTATTTTGTTCTCTGTTTTCATTGTCCAGCTTGAGATCTCACAGGCTGATCTGCAGAAATGTTTAAACATTCACAACTGTATCTGAAGCTACTGGGAACTGCCCTTTGAAAATATGAAATGTTACCCATTGTGAACTACTCAGATAATCAGCCTGAATTCTCAGATACTTGCATCGTACAGCCTGAGTTTCCCAGCTGTAAGGTGGAGATGATGAAACTCCTTTCTTTCAGGGCAAGTGTTGTGGAGAGGAATGTTTGTGAAACACATATGTGCTATGAGAGCCACAGAACAGGCGAGCGGGAAATGTATGGCTGTCCTCACAGCTGAGACTCAATAGAGGAAAGTAAATAGACCACACGTTGAATGAAGCTAAAAGAATATACTGAAAAGCTCATTCTTTGCACATAATGAAGCAAGGGTCAAGGGGAAAATGCGCGTGATTGTATAACTAAAGTCGGCATCATAATTTAATAAGGGATTAGAGATTCACAGACATCTTTAACTCTGACACTTCCTTATTTTTCACTGTTTGATAAATTATCTCTTAGGGCAGTCTTTCTTTGGGGAGGTTAGGGTGAATATGACATAGCTTTTTAGAAAATACTCCCTTGCTAGCTAAGGTCAATGTGCTGCTCTGCACATAGTTGCTCTGCGGTACAGAGTTGCTGTCACACCCTGTTGTTCCGTCTAATTACACATACCCTTATGGGATTATCTTCTGTAATCGAGGTCCCAGGTCTGAAACGTGTGACAATCAGAGCTCAACTCTGATTAAGAATTAGCAGAGAACTCACTAGAGGCGATGAAGCAAAATCTGGTGTTGTAAAGCACTAGAAGAGCACTTAAGCAATATCAATTTCTTTGTGGCCTTAAAGGGAGGGGAGAAGTATTCTCTTTCTTCCCATTTGTTTCACCTTCTTCCTTTTTCTCCTCATCCTTCTTTTTATCTCTACTTTTTTCTTTCTCCTCTTCTAAATATCCTCTGCGGCTAACCCGTTTTTCCTCCTAAGTTTCCGTCCCTTGTCCAGATTCTTCTCTGCATTGAGATTGTCATCCAGGAGCCATATAAAGAAGTGTCTGAGGTAACAGCTGTGTCTGGATCACTTACACTAAGGTCTTCTGATGGCAAAGCCTGGAGCTACGATGCGTGAGATGCCTTAGCACAAATGGTGTTCTCTTCTCCTTAGACCTGAAAGCCCCCTGGCTGGCTCACAGTTCCCATGAAAATTGCTGCTGAAACTGTCATCGGAGGCTTGAGTGAGAATCAGGAGAAAGCAGAAATGGCAGAGATGAGTGGAAATTCAAAGACTTTAAGAACAGGTAAGTTAAAAGAGCATGTAAAAATCTGGAGAATGATGGAGGGACGCTGAGGCTTGAAGAAGAAAACAAGGGATATGAAGACATCTGAACTATATATTACTTTGCTATTATTATAAAGCCTGGCAGGAAGTGTGGAGTGAATACGCTTTAGACTGAAGCTCTTCAGAGAAGGAAAGAAAAGTGAGTTGTCTGGCTGCTATTTTCTTCATTCTAATAAAGTTCTTTTTCCATGTTAGAAGACACAGATTTTTACTATGATTTTTTAACTCTGACGTGATAATTAGTTCTGTATTGGACAAAGGTACATGCCTGCCAAGATATTTATCTAAACAGAAAAAATATAAAAGGCATGGAAAGTCTTTATGAGAAGGGTGCCTCTCAAAGCATCATTTATTTTACTGAGTATCTGGAATTGTCAAGTGGCAGGTTTTAATTGCTTTGAACTTATGTGCGGAAGAAGTGAACATATTTAAGTATCTAAGCCAAAACTGTTTTTCTCCCCAGAATGATGAGCGAGACCAGTGTTACTACCATATTTTTCCTTCGCATTGTAATCAGTCTCCCATTTCTGCAATATGAAGGATTCTTCATGTGAGAAAATAGGCTACTATCGCGAGAGTCAGCAAGTAACTAGCTTTCATTAAAGTCGGAATCAGAAATGATCTTTCATGGGACAGAGGATGACTGTGACTTCCTCACCATTTTTTTTGTATTTCCTGTATATTATCTGAAGTAGGTTGCTTGTGCCCTAAATCTGAGCCATCTCTGTGCTAGTTTTTTGTCGGTAGTACTCAGCATAGGCTCTGATTTTTCCTTGGAGCCTCTATACGCTTGCTGCAAGACAAACAGCAATACTTCATAAATATATACAGCAGAATCATTGTACAGCTTCCTCTGAACACAAAACCTCATTATTTTCACAAGTAATTCTCAAGTATTTTGAATTTTAAGTTGGCAGATGAGAATGTATGGCATTTATTTGTTAAAATTCCACCATAGAGTCTCTTTATAATACCTTTCATGAATGTAGCCCACTTTTCAAGTGGGTGAATTGGCTGCTCGTCATGTAAACAATGTGTTATTGAAATGTTGATGCATTACTCCCATAGAGTAAACACCTTGGGGAGGTGGGGTGCTGGATTTGCAATGCAAACATAAGGATGCAGAACTGGACTGCCACTCAGTGGTGCTGGAGATCATCAGTTCTTCAGCCACTACCCATTGGCACTGACGTGGTTGAACACAGCTACAAAATCAACCAGGTAAGACAAACTGGTCACAAACAGGGGTGCAGAAATGCTATACAACTTTAGTATAACATCCTAGCAATGCCAGAGTGATTATAAACAGACTTCGCAAGCGATTCTGAAAAACACAGTAGGAACCCAAATGCCATAAAGCTCAATTTTATCCAACACTGAAACACCATTATTAGAGAATTGTCTGCTCTGATCTATCACATCAGTGACTTGGACACTTAGCTACTGTTATTTGTCCATGATTTTCCATGGAAGGTGTTAAAATGACATTGCAGTTCTGATGGATTGTTTATCAAAGAGCTCTTCCTTCAGTACTACAGCATTGGGATGCTTTTGATAGCTCTGACATGCCTTAGTTTAAATTGTCTTCTCTGTTTGCATCACACTAGTATGTATCAGCTCTTCTTTTTCAGGATCAAAGGATATCTTACAGCACATCAGAAACTCGTTAAATCTATATTTGTAAATAAAGCATTTGTTCCACAGCACCAGGTGTCCTTGAACCACTACAATGAACAGCTCTGCAGGACGTGTCCTAAATGTACTCAAGGCTCCACTGAATGATGAAAATGTGACTTGTCTGTTAAGTGTCCTGGGAACAACTTGTTATGGCCTATAAAGCAGTAGAAAAAGTGCACACAATGGTATTTCCAGAACTGCAACACAAATCTAATTAGACTCCCATCAAATGGCTTATTTGAGACTGAAAAATTGCTGGACTGATTACAAAGTTTGCTTTATAGATTAATAGGCTAGTTTAATAGCCATAGTTCTCATTGTGTATGGACTACTGCTTTATGCACTTTGTTGTACAGATATTAATTGCTTTGGCTTTTATGTAATATATGTCTATATTGCTGCTACTTTTATAAATGAGACCTGCCTCGAGTAACCTTTTTAGACTGTGATTTCCTTTTTTTTTTTAATGAATGAAAAAGAGGTCAATCTTGTTTCCAAGTTAGAATTCTTTTTCAGGCTTAACAGCAGCTAAATACCCAGACTGGTATTTATGCCTCATAATTATTGAAAAACATTTAATTCAATCCCATAAAACTTCAAAAATGGAAGCAGAACAAATTATATACACAGCAGTATTTTATACACAAACCCGGTTAAACTAAAATACTAATAAACATTCTTCTGGGGACACTTTTGCGGACATCTTACATTTGTAAGGAGCTACTGGATCTGGGAGACGAGCGAAAAGAACTTTTGTCTGTGTCACATCATGACAACAACTTCTTGGTATCGATGCTAAAATGATTAGGGCTAGCCACAGCCTCTCACTGCACACAGCTACTGGGCAGCAAGGGCATGCTTTCCTCCTTCACCAGCTTCTGGTACTTGGGATGGCAGATTTCACTGCAGAAGGTTCAACTGTGATTTCATAAAAAATTCTCTATAGCCTATAAAATCCCTGTCCTAACTAATAACGAACTACAATGACAAATTTTCGTGCATTTTATCCTTTTTATTTATACAGCCATATCGACTAACGAGTCCATACCCCTGTCAAAATCTAATGCCAGATGTTATGTTTGACTTTTAAAGAAGCCAAGAGAAGGACAGAATATTTTCTTGAGGGAGGAAAGCTGCACTGGCAACAAATTTTGAGACCAGAGGTAAAGGGAAGTGACTGGGTGGAAGTACAATTTCCAGACTAGAATAAGACGTTTTAATTTCTTAAGTATGAAGGAAACTGCATTTCTGATTTTGACCACTCATTTGACCTCTTCCTTCCTTCTAGCTTTGACATATTTTTTCTGATTTTCTTTTCTGAAGTGGTGGCTCTTCTTACCAAAATGTCCATTTAGTTTAGCTTTCTCTTCATTAAACGCTGAGCCGGCTAGATCACCATCCAAACTATTTTTGACCAGCCACCATTGTTTCCTACATGCTTACTGGCTGTATGTTGGCATTTCATGAGTGACCATGACTTTGCAGTCTTCTCTCCTTCACAGTCTTCTCTCATTTCTACTTCTTGCATTACTCATCTGCCCTATTCCCTCTCTTCTCTTTCTTACCCTTAAATCTTTCTCTTTCTTCCCCCCATCTTCCAGACATAGATCATTTTGAACAGCAATTTCCTTTTATTTTGTGCAGCCTGAATTCTGCTAGACAAATCTTATGGCTACTTGGAGGTCCTCACTGTAAGCTTTTCCATTCTTCCTTTATTTCTCATACTGACATTTCTCATGTGCTCTGTCTTTAGTTTTCAGCAGGTCGTCTAATTAATTCCTTCATTTTCTTATAAGCATTCCTCAGTAAAACTTTGCTTCTACCAGCTGATGTAAGTGAAATCCATCTTTTGAAAATTCCTCCCTTTCTGTATCCGCCCGTTCGCAGTCCACAGTGGTTCCTTCCTTCTCTGAAATCATGAGATGATTCATTGCAGCTGGGACTGAGCAGGATTTTTCATATCATCACATATGATGTGTTAAGAATGTACTTTACTTAGCTACACAGGAAAAAGGAACCTCCCCCTCTGCCCAAATAAGAAAACAGAAGTTTAGGGGGCTGAACGACAAAGATGGAGTTACGTGTGACATGATCATAGTTTAAATATGTATCTGTATACTTACAGTTGTGTTGGTGTTTTTTCATGCTATTGTCAGACTTAAATATAACATATATACTTAGCAACTATATGTTGTACTCTTAAACGTTGACATATTTTTTCACCATTGTTATTCTTTTCTAAATCTGAGAGCATAAATGTTTGAGAATGTTTTATTAGTTCTGTTAGATAGTCAATAAGCTTGAATGATAAGATAAAAAAAGTATTGATCTGAATTATGTTATATAAGTACATTTGACACGTTTGCCCAGTCATCACTGTTCTTAGAAAAGATGAATTATGTTATATAAGTACATTTGACACGTTTGCCCAGTCATCACTGTTCTTAGAAAAGAGTTCTTTATAGAATCATAGAATCATAGAATCATTGAGGTTGGAAAAGACCTCTAAGATCATCGAGTCCAACCGTCAACCCAACACCACCACCCACTAAACCATGTCCCTAAGCGCCTCATCTACTCGTCCTTTAAACACCTCCAGGGATGGGGACTCAACCACTTCCCTGGGCAGCCTGTTCCAATGTTTAACCACTCTTTCAGTAAAGAAATTTTTCCTTACATCCAATCTAAACCTCCCCTGG